TCTTTGCAACATTAGGCCTTCAAGTTTAGTGGCAGCAAAATGTGTCCACACAGATGTTTCTTGCTCTCCAAACAGTTCCTGTGCTAAGCTCTCTACCTTCTAGTTCACCCTGCTATACTGATGTAATTGTTATAATAAAATTTGGGTAACATACACAAGCATAAAAAGCAAAAATCATCTAAAAGGATCCATAATTATGACCTTCAAACAACCACTTTATACATTTCAGTGAAATGCATATGCATGTGTATATATATTTGAAACTGGGTTTCCAATCCATGTCTCTAGTCATAACTCTAAGGCTCACCTTTATGTGTTACTATATCCAGAAAAGCCAAGTGTATAAACTATACTATTACTCAGCTGATTCATCACAATAATAATGATGCCATTAATTTCTTGGGAACTTTCCCTTCTCATCTGCTTGTTTCTGGTGATAAAATATCCTTAAGAGCAAAGCCTGCCCTTTCAAATCAGTTTCACTCAAAACAGCTGACTCTCTAAAGAGCTTCCAGTCCTCAAAACTATCACAATTTCTAAAACTAAGGTGGAATTCAGTACATGCAGGATTATGGTTAATGACTTATAGCACTAAATCAATTTAAAAATATAAGACTCTCCTGAACCTCATATAATAATTACAGGAACATTCCCAATTTCACTCAGACTCTGGCATTTGGTTGTCACATTAATCGAAAAGACTACTTATTCCCCACTGAATTGTATTAGTCCCTTTATCAAAAATCAACTGACCATAATATACTAGAATTTCTGGACTCAATTCCATTCCATTGATCTGTATATCAATCTTTATGCCAGTAAAATCCTGTTTAAGTTATGACAGCTTCATAGTAAATTTTGAAATCAGGAATATGAGTCCTCCAACTTTGTTCTTCTTCTTCAGGATTGTTCTGGATATTCTGGGTCTCTTGCACTTCCATATGAATTCAGGATCATCTTATTAATTTCCTTAAAAACAACTTGTTGGGATTTTGATTAAGATTGTGTTTAATCTGTATGTTCTGTGGAGATTATTGCCATTTTAACAGTATTAAGTCTTCCAATCCATGAACAGAGAATGCCATTTGTTTAGGTCTAATTTAATTTCTTTCAATGTTTTATGGTTTTCAGAATACAAGTTTTACACCTTTTTAGTTAAATTTATTCCTAAGTATTTTATTTTTTTGATCTACAGTAAATATAATTTTTTTTCTCATTTCATATTTGGACTGTTCCTTGCTGAACTTATTAGCTCCAATAGTATTTTAATTGATTCCTTAGGATTTCCTAAATTCAAGATCATGTCATTTGCACATAAAAATACTTTTACTTGGGGCGCCTGGGTGGCTCAGTGGGTTAAGCCTCTGCCTTCAGCTCAGGTCATGATCTCAGAGTCCTGGGATCGAGCCCCACATCAGGCTCTCTGTTCGGCAGGGAGTCTGCTTCCCCCACTCTCTCTCTGCCTGCCTCTCTGCCTACTTGTGGTCTTTCTCTCTCTGTCTCTGTCAAACAAATAAATAAAATCTTTTTAAAAAATACTTTAAAAAATACTCTTACTTCCTTTCTAATCTAGATGACTTTTTTTTATCTTTTTCTTGCCCAACTGCGCTAGCTAGAACTTATAGTACAATGTTGAATAGAGGTGAGGAGAGTCAACATTATTGTATTATTCTTGATTTTAGATACAAAAACATTCAGTCTTTCGCCATTAAGTATGATGTAGTCTTTCACAGATGGACTTTACATATTAAGTAAGTTCCTTTCTGGTCCTAGTTTGTTGAGTATTTTTATCATGAAAGGGTGTTGAGTTTTGTCAAAGCTTTTTCTGATTTGTTAAGGTGATCCTGTGGTTTTTGTCCTTTATTCTATTGATATGATGTTTTACATCAATTGATTTTCAGTAAACTAATCTTGCATTCCTGGGATAAATCTCCCTTGATCATGGTGTATGATCGTTTTTATATGTTACTGGATTCAATTTGTTAATATTTTACCTACATTCATAAGAAATATTTATCTGAGTTGTCTTTTCTTGTCATGTCTTATCTGGTTTTAGTATCAGGGCAATACTGGCCTCACTGCATGAATTGGGAAGCGATCCTCTTGTTTTTTGTTATAGCTTGTGAGGAAATTATAGTAATTCTTCCTTAAATATTTGGTCATATTTATTCTTTTACTTTTTCTGTTTTTATACTTTTAAACGTGCACTCTGACAGCATGTCCAATAGGAGGACATAAACGTACACCCTTCCACTCTGTAAACCTGAAATTAATATATGGTATCTATGATCCACCAGAGTATTGTCAAAGTTTGAGTTACAGGAAAGAGAAGTTCGCTAATTCCTCCTTAAAAGTTTTCCAAGCTTTAAAAAAAAAAAAAAAAGTTTGGAAACATTTATCTCGGACCTGAACTGTTTCTCCTGTACCCCCAGCTCTCTCCCATTTCGCGACCCTCCCCAATGCAGAGTTCCAGCCACGTGCGCACAGATCTGAGAGGTGACCCTGGGGTAAGATCCTGGCATCCTCCCGCTTCCGTCAGCATCTGGAGGGGGAGGAGGTTGGGCCAAGAGGGTCTCCAGAGGCGGGGCGGAGGAGGAGAGAATGCAAAACAGTGCCTCGTCCCTGGAACCTCCAGAGCAGCAACGCCCCTCGCTATAAATTCAGAACTGCCTCATCGAGGATGATTCCAGCGCCTGTCAGCCAGGGCCCCAGGCAGTGGTGACAGGCAAGGGCTAGCAGCTCTGCCGTGCTAGGGTGGTGATTGATGGGGAGCAGTCCAAGCGAACCCCAGGAGTGAGGGCGCACCGCCGGGACGCGGAAGCAGCGGGCGGAAGCCCCGCAACAGCGCTGCCAGCTTGCGGTCCGACGTGGGCTCAGTGCCCTAGGCGCGGGTGAGTCGACACCAAGTCCCATGCCGGGTGTGGGGGCTGCGGGGCGGGCCTGCTCAGTTTTATGTCAAGGTGTCCTAACTGCGGGTGCTGTGTTGTTAGGCTCCCGGGGACGAAGGAGAGAGCGAGCTTAGTTCCGGCCGGCGCCCACCAGGAACGGGCAGGGCAGCCCTCCCCCAAATCAGGTGAGGGCGCCAGGGTTACATGGGACAATTTGAGACTGTTCGCTGCGTGCCCCCAAAATTTCATTCTGATTTGACCAGACTCTTTTGAGTCCAAGCAAGAAATCTGCAGAACTGGGATGCAACCAAGTAAACTTTCTTCCTGGCTTACTGGCTTTTAGCCAACTCTTGTCTTTTCACCGTAGCTTGAGAGAGAAATCGGTATGACTCCGCGGGGCGTCCAGTTAAAAGTTGTGCTATTACTAAGGTGAAGTTTGGAGTGTCCCCAGCCTCCCTTTCTGCTTCCCAGGCAACACCCCAGCACAGCGCATTTCCCTCTCACCCCTCCCTGCAAACTGTACTGGTGGGTCCTTGGTACTGGGCATCGCCCCCATCTGGAGCAAACTCTCCCGCCTTCAGGTGTTTCCAGGTGTCCTTTGATTAATTAGATTGGCAAGGGGGAGAAGCAGGGGAAGCTCCACACCCCAATCTCACAGCCCTGGCCAGTACACGTTTGTAACTGAGGCAGGATTTTAAGAGAAAATCTTTTTGGCTCCCTTCCTCCACATCACCTACCTCGCACTCCATTCTTCAACCCTCTTAACTGTCCAGCCCAGTCTTTCTATACCGCCAGGCTGCTACTTCTCCCCAAGACCTCAGCAAGTCTTTCTCAAAGTGTCTCCTGTCCCATTGTCTTTGGGCAGCTAGTAGAGACCCCGCTATTGAACCCCACTGGGGCTTCTTTACCTTTTCTTTATTTTTTGGTGGTGTATCAGAATTCCACTACTGGCCTTCAAAGTCCTCTCCTCTCAGTAAACGTTTGGGTGTTCATTTTCTCCTGGGATCAAATTTGGGACTTAGCTACATTTATTTCTAGTGTCATTGAGAGAAAAGAAAGTTAACAGTGAGGGATGCAAGAAATCTGGGATGCTACTGTTCTTTTAAAACTTTGTTGAGCGACTTGTTTCTCCTAAAGGTATTTAGTCCCCAACATGACTCTCTTGGTAGACAGCATCTGAGTGCCCAGGATCCCGAGGCATTTATTTCCTTTAGCATAAGTTGTAAGCTTTTTCTAAGTCCTCTCTAAGAAACTGCCTGCTTCCCTATCTCTGTAGTGCTTCCCTAGCTCTAAAGGCTCCACACAGATAATCTCTATTTAGGCTGTGGTGGATTCTACCACCTTCACAAGCAGACAGTGCAGGGGCAGGGAAGTGCCAGGAGCTGGGAATGGGGAGACCCACTTAAGTGGCTGTGTACTATCAGGAGAGTTATTTCACAACTCTGAACCTCAGGTCCCTGCCCTTAAGTTTCCCAACAGTAATAAAATTCCTTGATTCCTTTTGTTTCCTAGTTATTTGCTTAAAAAGTAATAGTCTAAAATAACTACCCATTTAATCCATATTTGAGACCCTCAAAACCCTCTAAATAACTGTCCTGGTAAATTATCTATTCTGGAAAATCATTACGTTTCCAGTGCTAGCTCCAAAAGTCCATCCCTAGTCCCCCCCAGATTATGGCTGCCGGTTCCCATAATCTGGTTTATGGCTCAGGGAGTGTACCCCCAGTTGCCAGGTCTCAGCATTTGTTAAAGTTTCACAGTTATTACTGTCAAGTCTGTCATCTCCTCTGTCTCTCCCCCCCCTTTTTCCCCTGATTTCATTATTCTTTGTGCCCATGATGAAGCCTCCTTCTGTGACCTTAAACTGAATCAAATTCTCCATCATCCAAGTCAGAAGAAAGCTTGTTTTCTTCCACTGTTTCCGCTGATACCAAAGGAAGACTTATCTTAAGATGTATAAAATGTCTCTCAGTCACTGTTGCTTCGGCAGTGCTCCCTATCCCAAGAGTTTCAAGCCTAAATCTTTCCTGTCACTCTCTAATCCTGGTTCAGTGTTCAAAAACCAAACAATCTGAGGATTATTCAGGTTTCTTACATTGTGTTTTTTTCCCCCTAGTTCCAGGTAAGAAGTGTGTGTGTGTGTGTGTGTATACATTTTTTTGTTTGTTGCTGCTGCTTATTACTGTTGTTGTTACTATCACTAATTATTTGCCCTATGCGGGAGGGAAAATAGTGAAAGAAAATTTAATCTGCTACTTAACCAAAGCCCTGGTAAAATACTTAGCTGGGAGAAGTCTAAAACTAACAGCTTAAATGTATGATGCGTATTTTCTACAGTTTTATCTGTGCCACCACATCCTTTTCAAGCAAATAACAGATATACTGTATTTTGTTTTCAGATCTGTTATAGAGACCTAGTCCCATAATACTTGCATGGTTTGGCTGTCTGATGCAGGCTTCCGGCCTTTAGCCCCACACTCATTAGTTTACCTAGTGCTTTGTCTGCTCAGTCATGACTGGCCTATGCCAGAGAGTCTCCCAAGTAAGCGAGCAAATTAGAATTTTATTTAGATGTTTGAAGTAAATCCAAGTGTTGTAAAGATTAATTAAGCTGTGTTAAAGACACACTGTGGCAAATAACAAATACAGAGCCAGACCAGCAAACTATGACAAAGCAATCAAGGTCAGGTAGGAAAGCTCTTCTCCCATTTTAAACTCATCACCACTGAAAAGTGCTATTATTTTTCTTCAAAATAGTTCTAAGCCTTCCCTTTCAAAACTGGATTACATGGTCACCGGATTACATGGTTTGTGTTCCCTGTCATGTAATTACTTATTAAAATAGTATATCAAAGTTCACAAAGTTCACATAAGCAAAAGAAGGTTTGTTCCATTTCCAGCCTAAATTTAGCTATCATTTTACATTTTTCTATTTTATTCATTATATGAGCTTTAGCTACCAGAATTCAATTTTTTGATGACTTAATATATAAGCTATCTTAAATTGAGGAGTGTCCATAGGGGTTTAAGATCATTTTCAACTGATTTGACAAATGACTACCATTACCCTATTAAAGCTCTAAAACACATCCAAAATAAATCACAGCCAAAAACAAAAAAACAAACCAACAACAACAACTAAGGAGCTATACATGAGCTATATATATATTTGCCAAATGTTTTATTAGTCAGTGTTCATTTTAATGACAAATTTGATAACTGGAAATAGAACATAAAGTATATATATAGAGAGATCATAGAAATGACAATGACTCTTGTTATTAGTCGTCATATTAACATTGAAAGTTCTGCTGATTTTTTATCCTTTTGTAGCAAACGATCACAAGGGAAAACAATTCCCTTGAGTGTTAAAACCATCTTTCAAGTATTTTACTAACATAAGATTCACTATATGCTATAAATATTGTATGACTGCTATATTTTACATTATTCTTACAGCTCAATTTAGAAGTTTTTGTTTTATTTATCTGGTTCCTAAATAGGTGCATCATCCAAATGTCTGAAGTAGAAATAAATGTCTAGAATTTGCCAGTGATTACTACAGTTTCCTCCCTATATCTAAGAATATTTTAAATTGTGTTACTAGTCTCACATTTAATTACTTTTCTAACATTTAATAGTTTAGAAAATGGGTGAAGAAATGGGTATGCTTTGTTTTTCTTAACTGCACTATGCCTTCATATTCCAAGTCTTAAGTCTAAATGTCCTTAGAATTTAAAATCATAGAATTAATAATCATTCAGTTTGGGTCAAGTTTTATATGATTTCTTGTTCACTTTATACACAAATAAGCTGTTTTATTCTTCGCCAAATGATGTTAAAACTTATTTAGATTTAGATTAACTTTGAATGGTTAACTTCAGAGTGAGAATACTGGAGAACACATATATGATTGTGTACTATTAAAAAGAGTTTATGATTGCTAATTTGTTCTCTAAGATGTCTTTAGATATTTACTTATTAATATTAATCAAAGTTCTTCTAGCCGCCTTGGAAAATGAAGAATTATATGTATTAAATGTATCAATAATAGTAGAAGATACTTACAAAGGAAATACTATAGATCTGAGTAATATTAGCTCCTTAAGAACACTGAAGTATAAAAATGGTCTTTGCCCTAGAGAGATGTTGGTCAAGCTAAGTACATACTTGGATATGAGACTCTCCAGGCATCTCAGCGACACTGGGGTGGGAAGCCATTTTTAAAACAAGCCTCCTTCTGTCCTCCTTTTCAGACCAGGTGGAACATCTAATGTGGTCACATTGTTTGATTCCAGCCACTTCCACAACTTTCCCTTCCTTAAGGGAGTATACCTCCTTTGATAATATATGCACCACATCCAATGCTTCTTTGTATTCTTTTACTAAATGCTTCACAATTCACTTTCTTCTTGCTTGTTATTTGTTTTTAGCTAAAGCCATGGAAAATGTTAAATACATTTTTCAGGTCCCTATATTTTTTTTCCAAAGATTTTATTTATTTATTTGACAGAGAGACAGATCACAAGTAGGCAGAGAGGCAGGCAGAGAGAGGGAAGCAGGCTCCCTGCTGAGCAGAGAGCCCAATGAGGACTCGATCCCAGGACTCTGGGATCATGACCCAAGCTGAAGGCAGAGGCTTTAACCCACTGAGCCACCCAGGCGCCCAGGTCCCTATATTTTAGAAGAGATATGCTAGAAACCACTCTTCAAAGCTCATTTGAGTATAGTACCCTATTACACACAATAAAATGACTTGAAATAGATGCTTTACTCTTACTAATTGGGGAACTAACTATTAATACTATTTTTTTTAGTCTAAAGCTGTAAAGGCAAGGGGAAAGTAGAGGAAAGAGTAAGAAAAGGAGAAACAGAATAAAAGTTGAAATGTTGAAATGGCAAATCAGTGGTTCTTCAGGCTTTAGGGAAAGGGTAGGGCAAGCATATTATAATCACTTTTTAAATCTGTATATATTGTCCAAAGTTTCCTTAATCCCACTGCCCCTACTGAGAACCACTGTACTATATATTAGGAGCAATAATCCACAATTACCTCAAGTGTCAAAGCAAAGATCAGCATCATGAGCATCACGTGGGAGCTTGTTAGAAATGCAGACTTTCAGACTCCACCTAGACCTACTCAATAAGAATCTGCATTTTAACAAAATTCCCAGGTGGTTCAAACACACAATGAAGCTAGAGTCCAAGTATACAGCACCTAGGCCTTGTTTAGAATGATCACCTAGGATGGTTCAGTCAGTAAAGGGTCTGCCTTGGGCTCAGGTCATTTCCCAGGGTTCTAGGATCCAGCGCCATCAGGCTTCCTGCTCAAGGGGGTGTCTCCTCCTCCCTCTGCCCCACCCCTCTCATGCTTGTGCACACTCTCATGCTCTCTCCCTCATAAATAAATAAAATCTTAAAAAAAACAGAATGATCACCTAGAGGTTATTTCATTGGTTTTTTGATAAACTAACATTTTTACATAAAGCTCACATTTATTGAGCACAGATAATATACCAAATACGTTCAGCCTTTAATACTGTTTTTATTTAATTCTCACAACATCCCTATGAAATAGGCACTGCTTTATCCTCATTTTGTAGATTGGGATACTGAGTAATAACAAGATAAGTAACTCACCCAAATGTGGTAACTGGTAAAGACTTAAACACAGGAATTTTGATTCCTGTGCTTTTAGCTGCCACCCCACATTGTCTACTCTACATTTGGCTGTCTCCTTTTTAAGGCCAACTAATTATTTGAGAATTTATTTAACATTATAATTTGAAATCAAGTTCTGTTTCATAGAAAAAAAACAAGATTTTATTTGTAATATTTGTCTGTCATCTTACCTTTAAGTGCAATAATGAAGAATTCTAGAAATTCCTTCTTTAGTTGGAAAATAAAAGCTAAAGCTATGACAGCTCATTATTTAAAAGTTAAGGTTTGCTATTTCTATGTTTTTTCATAACTTACCTAAAATTTATTCTTCTTACCTTTTGGTGTTCTGATGCTATAAAAAAAACTTTTCTCTTGAACAAGTGATTCCCTACCTACACAAACTATTCAGCCTTCCAACTGAAATTTTATATCACTCTTTTAGCTTTAATATAAAAAATTATCTACAAGCATGGCTCATAAAACTAGTTGAATGTAGTTACTAACCAGTCAGTCTGCAAGCAAATGGTGACTTCTTTTTAGCCAGTGACTATCCAAATGATTGAGTCTCTGAACAATTTCTCCTAGTGCATGTAGATTCTCTGAGAGATGTCAGCTGGATCTGGCCAAAAGCCTGTTGTCCTGACAGGGGCTCACTGACATTGGTCAAAAGACATAAGGGAGTCTGGGTTCCCTGTGATCACGTTTGAGAGGAGAGGTGTGTCAACAGGACTGAGTATCTACAATTTTCCCAGCAACAAAGAGACATCATTGGGAGATGGAACTTCACCAGCTGCTTAGATCTGGAAGTTTAGGCAGCACGAACACTACAGTATCTAATTCGTAACTTATGGCTTAGGATGCAGTCAACCCAGGGCTGCCATAACGCCAAGTTGTAGGGGCCTAGCAGGGTGGTAGCGCCTAGAAGACATACTGCACACAGCAGCAGAAAGTCTTAGAGCTAATAAATGATAAAGTACCAGTGATTCTCTTATGACCCTGCTGGTCTCAACAAGCCCAAATATTTGTGACTGCCATTGCACAGAATCTATACCAGGTTTTCTTCTAAATAAACTGAAAAACATGGGATCTCTTCTACAAAATTCATATATTTATACTTTCATTATCACATACATTTTTCTTCACCTTTTGACCCAAACTCTTCTCATTAATCCAATTCAAATGCATTTTACATGCTTCTAAATCTGTGTAATACACCACTAGAACAAGAATGTTCCATGAGCCCAGCTTTAGTAATTTTCTGTGCAAATGATGTCACTTCACATAAAACACATTGTACCCTGATGGATCCCAGCCCTTAACCTTCACACAGTTAAATGCGGCCACTTTATCAGGAATGGAAAAGTATCTGATGTGATTCCTACGTAATGATTTCTTGAATGTGTTCTGGCATTTAATCAACTAGGTTAATAGAATAAATTTTTAAAAGAAACACAAATCTATTCTTTTTTAAGTTCCTATTAGGTTAAGCTATATGATGAGACATTATATAGTCATTTTTACATATTTAATAATATTTAATGGCAAGGAAAGATAATCATAAGTGAATAAAGCAAAACATAAATCATGAGTGTGATTCAGCTTGTGTGTGTGTGTGTGTGATAGATTCTTGTCAAGTTGACATTATGGCCTTACTTGGGTCTTTAGTGTTCTAATGAAAATAGTTATATTAGCACTGATGTGTGGTTAAATTCACTGATATACTTTTTAAATGTCTGCATCTTTGTAGACCAGATAAGACTAGGAAAAATATATAACAGATCTTAAAAGCTTTGGAGAGTTATTAAGATCAAGGCTAAGATCAAAAGTGACTTTTTTCTTTCCTTTTTTTTTTTTTTTTTTTTTTTGGTATAGATTTCAGATCTTTAGACAACTGCTACTAACTCTGTAGAAAATGATACTGGCAAATCCGACCCTTTCTGATTTTTTTCCCCTAAGGGAAAATTAGGAACATTAGGGCCTTACAGAAGTTCACAAGGTTCATAACAAGGTGGTATTTTTTTAAGAGAAATAATCTTATGAGAAATATCTTATTGCTATAACAACAAAAACCACTGAAATTCAGGGATAAAAAGAGATTCTTGTAATGCCAAAATCATTCCAAATAAGAATGTTATAGTAAAGTTGGTATATATTGTGGTTTAAAAAGTAATCTGTAATATACCTATTGTCTTCTTGAATAACTCTTCAGCTTTAAAAAAATTTCTTACTTAAAAATGTCCCCCAGGGCTCCTGGTTGGCTCAGTGGGTTAAAGCCACTGCCTTCGGCTTGGCTCGGGTCATGATCAAGCCCTGCATGCGGGGGCGGGGGGGGGGGGGGGCCCCGCTTTGCTCAGCAGGGAGCCTGCTTCCTCCTCGCTCTCTGCCTGCCTCTCTGCCTACTTATGATCTCTGTCTGTCAAATAAATAAATAAAATCTTAAAGAAAAAATCCCCCAAATCCATAACGGAAAATATTGGTTAAATTAGCTACATAAAAAATTTTAAATCATCATATGTAAAAAGGACAATAAACAAAGTCAAAAGATAAACAGGAACTTGGGAAAGCTATTTGCCACACATTACATGTTAAATGCTGGTTTTCCCAACATAGCATAAGCTCTTTATTTTTTTTTTTTTTTTTTTAGAGATTTTATTTATTTATTTGACAGAGATCACAAGTAGGCAGAGAGGCAGGCAGAGACAGAGGAAGGGAAGCAGACTCCCTGCTGAGCAGAGAGCCCGATGCAGTGCTCTATCCCAGGACCCTGGGATCCTGACCTGAAGGCTTTAAGCCACTGAGCAACCCAGGCACCCCAGCATAAGCTCTTTAAAATGAGAAACAGTGAACAACCCAATTGAAAAATGAGCAAAGGCCATTACTGGGCAAACTAGTAGAAGAATAACTACAAAAAATAAGAAAACAAAAAGCTCAACCTCATTCATAACTAAAGAAATGCAAATAAAGACAAATATATACTTTACATTTATCACCCTGAGAAAAGAAATTGAGATTTGATAAAAGCCAGATTTTTAGCATCATATAACCTTTATAGAGGACATTTTTAACTATCTCTCAAAAACATGAATTATACCATTTGCTTCAACAATCATTTTAAACTTTTCTAATGATACATAGTTTAAAAAATGCATATGTATAAACAGGATCATTCAGGCATGTTCTTAAGCAGCCAAAAAGGGAAACTGAAAAAAAGAAGACCGTAAGGCCCATTAACAGGGGGCTGGTTGAATAAATCATCATGTGTCAGTGTAATGAATGAAATATTGTATAGTCATCAAAATAAATGAGGCAGATGTATATATACAGTATAGATAGTTATAGCCATATTAAATTTAACAAAAAGGCAAAGAGCAGAATAGTATGATGTGTAAAATGACAAAAAAATGTGGATATACACATTTGTATGCATATGTATGCTTTTTTAAAAGTCCTAAAAAGATGGGGCGCCTGGATGGCTCAGTGGGTTAATAAAGCCTCTGCTTTCTGCTCGGGTCATGATCCCAGGGTCCTGGGATCGAGCCCCGCTGTTTGGCAGGTAGCCTGCTTCCTCCTCATTCTCTGCCTGCTTCTCCGCCTACTTGTAATCTCTGTCTGTCAAATAAATAAATAAAATCTTAAAAAAAAAAGATACATTTGAAACTGTTAGTAATAAGTACCTCTAGGAAGTGTATCTGAGACATGAGACAAGAGCTAGGAGACACGAACTTTTATTTTTATACTCTTTTATAACTTGATATTTATACCACAAGATGTGTCACTACAATGAAAAATAAAAACAGACATACAAAAAAACCCAGATCTCTTAAAAAGATTTATTTTCAGTTCTGGTGCAATCACACTCATATAGGTTTATATTAAAAAGAATCATTTATCAAAGTTCAACTGTAGATTCATAAGTATCTAATCTATTATGATATTTCTTATATTACTAGTTATGTCTACAGAAGTGTCTTAAAATAAGATTTTATTTTACCCAAAAACATTGTTTTTCTCCTCTAGTGTGTATCTACAAGGGTATGGGGGAACATGTTGACTGTAACGAGGAAGAAGATGAAATCCCACATGACAGACTGCCAGTTTGTGCAGCCTAACTCTACATAAGGACAAACATATCCTTGATATGGACCAGACAGTTTCATTCCCTTCAAAAACACATTTAAGATGTAGTGTTAATATTTATTCTATCAACTAGAAAATGAAAATCTGACCATATTCAGTGAATCTCATTACTCTTTTCTCTTTTCAGGTTGAATATATGATAAATTGGTCTAAAATGGCTGAGCTTTCATCTGACTAAGACGTAGAAGCCATCCCAGAAGTTCTGCATCCAGGTAAAATATCTTGTACCTATAGCGCTGCATCTGTCAGTGGTTTTTCTCTAATGTGTCAGTGGTGGAGGTAGCACAAGAAGCCACACACACCATTGTCTAATGACAGAAACAGAGGAAGCAGAAAAGAATGAAATTCCAGTCTTATCTCATCCCTTATATGTAGCTTTAGAACATATATATTTATATAATTTTAAATGTAAACAATGTTAGAATTACGATGCTATTCATCTGTTAATGTAAACCATGTGAGAGATTTGCAACCCCTTGGCAAGGATCTCCTTGTGGCCATTGGTGGATTGTTCTTCATACTCTGCAGGGCTTTCAGAGAACCAAGAAGGAATTGATGGTGTTCTCTCCTCAGCCACCCCTAATTGGGGGTTTGGGCTCTATGAAGCACTCACTTCCAGAAGCACATGTCCAAAGACCATATGTCCAAGGACCATAAACCTTAAAACTTGACCTGCTCACCTTCAGAAAATCCAGATATCTCTGAGTCTCATTCTTATAAAAGTTTCCCCTACTCCAGTAAGATATAGGCAAAAAGGGCAATGTGGAATTGGAGGCAAAGTACCCTTTAATACCCATATAGTCTAGCCCCCTAGTAGGCATGAATCCCATGGAGACATGCAGCAGGGCATTACACTCAGAACCTGAGAGGGCAGCGTGGGTAATCAGAGACTGCCCCGTCCATCCACTTCCTGTCATATTGCTCTACCTGATTATTTTTCATAAAAAGACTCCTGTATTTTCCAGATCAAAAAATTTTTTTCTCCTCACAAAAACAGCTCAAGGAACAAGCCCTCAACCTCCTAAATTAACAGGGGAGACACTCCATAGTCCCCACAGAGAGAATAAAGAGAGTAGCTTGTCCTCTTCTTAATATATTGTGATTACATTTTATCAAAGCAGAAGACAGGACAGGTGCTGGGTGGGCAGACAAATGTTAGAGGTGATTTTCTTTTTCTTTTTATTTCTCTTTTATTTGCTTCATTAGCAAATGGGAAACAGTTGCTGGAAGGCATTCCATGGTGGTATTAGGAAACTATTTAGGATTGCTTTAATCTTGGAGACAAAAATAGAAACATTCTACAGAGTTCTGTCACTGGAAATCTTTAGGTTGGGGGGTTGTTTGGTTGTTTTTTGTTTGTTTGTTTTGTTTTGTTTTGTTTTGTTTTGTTTTTTTGAGGTATAGTTAAGCTTAGAAAGCTGGGCTATACATGTTTTCAGCAAAAATCCAGCTCTAGAAAAAGTATGTTGAAATATATCTCCTAAATAGGAAGCTTTATTTTATATCCTAAGAGTTCTGAACAGAAGAACTGTTTGTCCATAATACTCCATCAGCCTTATAACAGAAAAAGCAAGACAGTAATCCAGGGGAGTTCTGGATGGAAATGATTCTATGAACAGCCTCCCTTCTCTTGTTCTGGAAGCCCTCAGTTTCTAACAGTCACATATTTGTAGCAAAACTTTCAAAATAGTATGTTGTTTTCCTTACAAACAACAAAACAGTGAAAAAAAACACTATAAAATCTTCAACTTTTTTAAACCATTAAGTTACAGATGAATGGGCAAAATGTGCTTACTTCAAAGAAGTTATTTTTTGTTTGTTAAAGTACTAATGCTATACTAATTCTGCCACTGACTAGCAACTTTGCCTTTGGTTTCTTGTAAAATAATCTCCAAGGCCCCCACCCAATCCATAGGCACTCTACTGAAATACAAAAAGTGTGTTTAGAGTTTCTGAACATTGCAGTGCCTGTTTTACCAACTTACAACTAAAGAACTCTGACCTCTTATTGATTTAAACCAGTAATGTGTAAACAGCATTTCAGAGCTTGTTTTATAGGACCAAAAGAATTTAAGTTGAAATCTACTTAGGAAAAATAAGGAAAACAGAACATTTAAAAGAATAAATAAAGACTTCAGTGGCTTAAAATCTGTAGACTTGCACTGTCCAGTATGGTAGTCATGTGCCATGTATGGCTATTCAAATGTAAATATAAATCAATTATGATTAAATGAAATTAAAAATTCAGTTCCTCAGTTGTGTTAGCCACATTTCAAGAAAAGACACATATAATTAGTGGCTATACTGTTGGACAGGACAGATTTACAACATTTGTATCATAGAAAATTCTAGATACAAATTCTAGATACAACATTTGTATCATAGAAAATTTGTTTATTGCTATAAACAACTTACTAATAATTGCAGTGGATTTCCATTGTTACTTCGTAAGAAATTTTTATGGTCTTTTAAACTTACTGGGAAATTTTAAAGTATTTTTTTAAATTCTAATTTTCTCAGCTGTAGGATATCTAATATATAATTCTCATAGTAATTTTCTCTTTTTCCTATTTACTTGCCTATTAAAATACGTGGTGTTAAGTATCTTATTTACTCTCCTAAGGTTAGAGGCTCTTGTTTTCTTAAAAATCATGAGAAAAGGTACACGCAATTTTATTGAACTAATAATATATAGCTGTTGGTTTTTTTTACCTCCATCATTGACATCTCCAAGTAAACAAAACTAGAAAAGAAGTAGGATCATTTCTAAAGACCCACATTTTTTTTTGTTCTTTATATTCTGTGAGATTTTTTTTACTGCAATGATAGATATGTCTCAATTATACTGAGGTAACTACAGATGACTTAGCGTTTTTTCAGAAATTGGAGAGCCATGCAAAATAAGTATTAGATGACTTATTTTTTTCTCTTTTTCTAGAAATGCACAAGATATTAGGAGTCTCTGTTTCCAAATTATTCATATCATAGAGAACAGTAGTTTGTTTTCAATTTTTAATTAATGTAATCACCACCTGTTATAGTATATTCTTAAAGTTCTTGGTCACCATGTCACCATTTTTCCACTAGTATTGATCCCATTATTAAAATGTCAGTCTCAATTACTTTCCAGTCACTTATACCTAGTAATTCAATTACATTTGGTTCCTAGACTAATGGTTGTGTGTTACACAAGGCAAAAAATTAAAAATGAATTTGTCTTTGAGTCATCGAAACATCAAGGATTTGAAATAGCTATATAACTAAAAGGAAAGCATATAAATATCTCGCCTGTATTCCCTTTACACATTATTAGTATTATTTTTCAATAAATGCATATATAATAGAAGTTAGCACCTAGTTTGGAATTATCAAGTATGAATCCTTGAGTCTTACCATTGGGGAAAAAAAAAAGGCAAAGTAAAAGTTAGTCATTTGAGGGGTGGTTCTTACAATAAAGAAAAATATATATTTCTTTATAGAGTAACAGGTTTACTCCAAAGAACCTATTATCCATAGTATATCTATGGAAACACTGTTCCTAGGCTTGAAAAATAGAGCTAGATATGCTTAGCGCATAACTGACCATATAAGAGACTCAAATTTAGGTTACTGTTAAGATTTTTTTTTTTAAGATTTTATTTATTTATTTGACAGAGGTCACAAGTAGGCAAGAGAGGCAGGCAGGGAGAGAGAGGAGGAGGCAGGCTTTCCGTGGAGCAGAGAGCCCAATGCAGGGCTTGATCCCAGGACCCCGAGATCATGACCTGAGCCGAAAGCAGAGGCTTTAACCCACTGAGCCACCCACGTGCCCCTAAGATTTTTAATAATTAAAAGAGTTCAGAGTATTAGCACCAAAATGTGGAGGCTTTGTTTTGCTGGCAGAGAGAACTTTTGACTAGTACCAAAAATACTGTCATCCTTCCCCTTCAACTAGTCATTCCTTTTAAGACTTTTAAGAAGATTTAGACATTTAGGAATCATTTTTTAAATTCCAGAAAGGTGTAAGATATTTTAGAAATATAATAACACAGCACAGATCTGATGAAAGGTGGTTATCTGGAACTAGGTCTTGGGCACCTTTCCAGAACTTAAATTCTAGGGAGCCCTGGGACAACAGGAACAATGTCATACTGCAAGTCCAAAATCCAGTTAGGAACAGCCTTCCTCCTCCTCCTCTCACCCAGGCAAGGCCAAAATACGTCTATACACAGCATAGGTCACCATAAAAAGCAAATAGAGCTGCTGTAGATTAAACGAGGCAGTGGGTAAAGGCTAGACCTTGAACCTTGGCTTCTCAGTGATACTCCCACGTTAAAGAGGAAGAACAAAATGGGCATTTCACTGCTTCTGGTCCCTCTAGTATGGTCAGTGTACAGAGCAGGAGGATAAAACAATTGTCTTAACAGTGTAAAGCAGAAAGTTCAAACTGCTTTGGCAGTGTGAAAGCAATGCAAATTTGACTCACTAAGGACAACAGCTTCTCATGTGATATATATAATACTAATAGGTTGGCTATATTTTGTTCAACTCCAAACCATTAATGAATGCTTATCTCCATTTTACATAGAACATATCTATACACAGTTGAACAAATAGGGAATGGCCCTATTTGTGAGAACTGTTGCCCACAACACATGAGCTTGGTGGGACAACTGAAGTAGTAGTAAGCTCCTCTTGGATTTCTGCTAGAATTTAGACTTTATTAGATGGATGAGTTATACAGAACTTACCACCTGAATTAAAGAGTGAGAAATAGAGTATAAACCAATTAAGTGAAAGAAAATCATATTATGAATAAAACAATAAATGTCAATTAATTAAAACTTTTATTTTAGCTTCCTTAAGATAAGATGACAAATTTAACAGACCTTATTCAACATCTTAAAATGAAGAGATCTAGGTAACCTATTTTATGATTTTTATCTTCTTTGGAAGATGTTTGACATCTTTAATTTTCATATTTAATCAATTTTGTTTCTGTTTTTAGTTTCTGTGGTGTCGCTATCCATCAACTCATATTGGTTGAGTGTGTGTGTGTGTGTGTTTGTGTGTGTGTGTGTGTATCCCAAGAGAAAGTAATTCTGCAATCCTCCTCAGCAATTCATTTTAACAATTAAGAACCCTTAAGCTAAATAGAATAATTCAATTCACAGGAAACTTTTATTCAATATGTATAATTAGTTTTAGTTAACTTTATTAATGAAATGTCGCA